AATTCAGAGCTGCATAGATACATTTTCTTCTATCAGTTTCATAATATTGCATTTTTATATTTAGGTCCATGACTTGTTTTGTGAGGGGTATAACATCTATGTCTAGATTTTTTCATATTGATGTCAAATTGCTGCTTTTCTTGGAAAGACTATTTTTTCTTTTTGCTGTTAATTTACCCTTGTTTTGCAGTCAAAGATCAGTTGAGTCTATTTTTTGTTATCATTATTTCCATTTTTTTTCTTGATCTCTGTTCTGTTTAATTGATCTATGCACTTATTCTTTTTAAAACATCATGCTTTCTAGATCACTGGAACTCTTTAATAAGTTCTGAGTGAGCATCCTGCATCTTCCAACTTTCTTCATCTTCTTCAGTGTGGTGATGGCTTTCAATTTAAATATTAGAATCAATTTGTTGATATACACAGATAAGTTGTGGGATTTTTACTGAGATAGCATTAGTTCCATGACTCAAGTTGGAAGGAATTGACATCTTGAAAATAGTGATTCTTCCAACCCATAATATGGAATGTCTCTCCATTTTTGATTATCTTTGAGTTTTTCTCCAGGCTTTTTAATTTAAATATATAAATCCTATAGTAATTTCATATGAATTATAACAAAGTATTTCCCCTTTTGTGTGTGCTATTATAAGTTGTGTTTTTAATTACAATTTCTCATTGGTGGAAACCAGTTGACTTTTGTATATTAACTTGGTATTTTGTGATCTTGTTATAATTAGTACTAGTGCAGGTTTCTGTTGTTTCTTTGGGGTTTTCTACATAGAACAGAGACAGTTTTCTTTCTTTCTTGCCACTAAGACTTTTCTATGGTCTTGTCTTATTGCACTTGCTAGAACTTCAAGTGGGATGATGTGGAGTGGTGGGGAGCAGGAACATCTTTGCCTCGCTTCTCATCCCAGAGAAGAAACATTAAGTTTCTTACAATCTTTTCCCTTTTTAATAACTTGCATCATACGTTTGTCAGGGTTTTTTTTTCTTTTTTGTCCTAGTTCTTCATCTCATCTCAGACCTGTTGAAATAGAAAGGACAACAGAAAATAGAGAAACTTTGGTTATAATTGGAAGTTAGGTCTTAGCCAAGTTAACCTCAGTGCTTTACATTTCAGTGTTTTATCTCTAAATTAGAAAAATATTTCCTATGCCAGTGATCTGTTATGATGATTATTCAGAAAAAATGTCTAATGGTTCTTTCTTCATTTAACACCTTAATTTCTAACTTTAATGTAGGTCTAATGTTAAATGCTTGATACAGATCTGTGAGCAAGGCACCAGGCCAGCTTTTAGAAACTTGTCATAAGAAAAAGTTCAGGGCACAGTCATTTTCAGTAACTATTCATAAGTGCTTTGAGAACAATAAGTGCTTTGATAGCTTCTAATAATTAAAAGCTATAATCTTTACTTTTATTTCTTTTTCAAATTTAGTCACTCTTCCCCAACTGTCAAAACCAGCCAAAGACATTTCCTGTCTGTTTTCTCACATAATTTGTTTTGATCACAGAAAATCGGTACAAATGATTCCAGTTGATAATCTTTCTAGCTTCTGCCTTGTCTCCACTACTTCCTAATTCTTTCACAAGCAACTCTCAAGAATTTCTATACCTGGGTTACATGATGCCAACATTTGGAGGGGGTGGTAACATCACATTCCAGATGGAAGATATGATAATAATTATATTTTCCTAGAAAGAATACTAAGTATTTAAAGCAAGCGTTTTTCATAACATTGACGCTGATTATTTAAGTATGAAATGTCTTCATAAAGTCTAATATTATTCTGGGGCTCAATTCTTTGCATTTTTTAAGCAAGGAAATTAAGAAAAAATATTTTATATATTTGTGAGTGTATAGGAACACCAGTTTGGATATTGTGTTTTTAAAAATAAAATAACTGACAATACTTTGGTATCCCAAAAGTGCTTGGGAGACCAGTGCTTTGTTACCAGGCAACATCCTTTAAGACATTCACGATGTGTCAACTGAAAACAATTTCAGATGAGTTTTCAGGTATCATGTGATTTATGAGGTCAGCACATGAAACAGTTCACTCATTTTTTTCCCCATAATTTTGGGAGCAGGAGGGAAGAAGCAGAGGTGGAAGGGGACCTCATGACTGAAATACTGAAACCACTGGGAGAACATCAGACAGCAGCCAGACTGAAAACAGTTAATTGCCCTTTGATGCTGTCTGCAGTCACCACCTTAAGATTTTGGTTACGTAATGAAATAATTTATTTGGTTTGTCTTTCCTTATTTTCTTCCCAGTAAGCTAATGAAGTGACTCCGAACAGAGGTGCTGACTGGGATGGGCATGTGTGTTCCTGTGGCCCGGTGTTTAAAAAACATTAAATTAAATGCTATTTCTGAAATTTTGGACAGCTTCTGCTGACTCTTGAGTCTCTCCAAACTCTTTTCTGTGTCAGCAATTTTGAATTTGATTTGGAACATGTTCTAAACTTTCTCCACCAAAGATCAGACTGCAGACTTGTAGAGAAGTAAAGAAATGCAAAGTAAAGCCAGTTAGGCCCCAGGTGTGCTAAGTGTTCTGAATGAAAACTTCTTTTCAGTATAGTCTCAGCCACTGACCATTAATAGTGACCCAGCTGTCCTCATGCCTAATGATTACCATGGAAGATGTTCTAGAAAATTTAAATGATGCCATTTATTAATTAAAATGCATTTACTCTGCCTGAAATCTATATTTTAAGACACATGATACAGATTGTCTCTGCTGAAGGTACCATTGGTTTTGAGACTATTTCAAGAAATCAAGAATGTACTCCTTACAGAAAAGGATTAAAGGAAGTAGTTTCTATCATCTAAAAAAGTTTAGTTGGATGGGCAGTCTTGTCAAAGTTGTTTGCTTGTCTGTTTCCTAAGAATAAAGGTCACTGATACACCTATCCCTGAGTCTGTTACTCAATTACTCTATCGTGTAAACATTTAAATGTGAAGTGGATAAATATTGATTAGATATTTAGCTGATTGTTATTTAAGAATTCCCGTCTAGAATAATAGATTATGTGTGTGCATGTGTGTGTTTCAATGTTAATTTTCTACTATATGCCAGGGTCCTTTGCAAATACTATTAATCCTCAACACAAAGTTATTATATATTATTTATCAGTATTTTGCAAAATTAGAAACAAGGGTCCACAAGGCTTAAGCAATTTGATAGCATATTAAAAGGTGGATATCTGAGTCACTGATATGTTCTCTGACCTAAATTCCAATATTGTTCAACTTCCCATCATAAATCCTTTAATGGTAAATTAGGGATTAATTTACTTAAAAAACTACAATATCCTCTCAATAAAAAAAAATTCTAGTAAATATTTGTTTATTTTAACTTAGTTTTTGTGTATGCGTATGCACTTTTAACTTCCTTTTTCTTTTGTGCGTGCAGGAATGTTAATATGCATAGGTTTTGCAATATAAATTATAAAACACAATATCTTCCCATGTTTGTGGCTGTACTTGTGGGGTTAATGCCACAGCAGACCCACAAATAGAAACAGAGTTTACAGCGTTATTTAATATGAGTAGTTTGCTTTATGTTTCAAGTTGCTTTGCATGCATTTTAATTCACACAAATCTTACCTGTATAGATATAATATGAATGCTTGTTTGAAAACATGATTTGATGAGAGATTATGAAACTAAAATATGTATTTTTAAAATAGACAAAATTACATAGCATGATCTCAAACCAAAACCTTTTGATTATGGAATGCTGCTCATTTACACAGATTTTTTAAAATAAATTCATATCTATCTCTACCACAAAGACTTTTTTATTCAAAATAAATTAAAAAATTATAGATCTCAATTTCTGGTATAGCCATCTCATTCTTTAAGCATTTTTTTTCTATTTATAAAAGCTAAATTTTCAGCTAAAGAAAACTTTTCAACTTTGCCAAAGCGATGAATTTTTATTCTATCTGAAAACATTTAGCAAGAGTCACCAGAGCACACATTTTTTTCAAATTTGTTCTTGGTTCTTTTTAAATGATATTATCTGTTCCCCTGAAGAACAAAAGACTGAGGGAAAGAATTCCCATCTGTAAGAAAGAGAGCAGCATTTACATGTGGAAATGGATAATGGATTTGTGGAGATAAAGTGATCAGATGACAAGTATCTCTCCCAGCGTCAGGGGTGGAAGAGTCAGTTTCTGAAGCAGTTCTACACAGGGAAGCAACCAGAAGGCTCGTGTGAATCAGCCCCTCCATGGGCCTCCCCTGTACATATCACGTAGAGATGAGAGCCTCATAATAGAGCAATGTTGATTTTTTAAATTGGAATTATAGAATTTCTCCAAATTTCATAAGCCAGTGACCGAATTATTGTTTCTCCTGCGAAAGAAAAAAGGAAATTGATTTAAAAAATGGACAATTCCATTATCATTACTATTTAGGTGTATAATCCATTCTGTTTTCAAACAAGCAAGTAATTATTTTGAACCTGGTATATTTTGTCTGAATCTGAGACACACACATGAATGACTTCTGTGCTGCCACCCCTGCCTCCCAGCCAGTTTCTCCACAACCCAGTCCCCAGGACTCTGAGCCGCTGGAGGGAGAGGCAGGACCTTGAGGGACAAAGATAATCCTTACCGTGATGTGGAGTCACTTACTTGTCACCTAAAACTTGTCACTTCTAGGTAACAAAAATACATATATGAACATGGTAAGATGTATAACAAGTTAAGATTCCACAGTCTATCTAAAATAATCATTGGAAAGAACTTAATTTTTAAGAATTAAGGAGTTTAACACCTATAGGTCCTTTTATTTTGACAGACTTTTGATTTAAAAGTCATAAAATACTACATTTATTACAAGATAAAGTATTTTCTTTCTTTCTTTCTTTTTTTTTTTTTTTTTTTTTTTTTGAAGATCAAAAGCAAAACCCAGGGAAAGAAAATGGTGTGTCCATAAAGTATCAGGAAAACACTAACCACTCTCTAAAATCCTGTCTTTCAGGAAAGAACGGTGACCATCAGAAGACAAACAGTAGGAGGATTTGGATTAAGCATAAAGGTAGCCTGCCTTTCCAGCCTATCCTTACAAAGGCCGCCCTGTGAGGGCTGAAATTTGGGGTGCTATCAAGTTTGGAGACTAGAAATTAGACAGAAAGGGCTACCGCACTCTTTGATATTTAGAGTAGGATGCAAATTAGGTAGTAAAGCCTCACAGTAACCTGGCCAGGCTGTGACCTTTGGATATAGAAATTTTAGGAAAGAATTTGGGGATTTTATATTACCCAGTATTGGATATAACTCATTACCTTTTCTTGATCTGGTTTCTTCTATAATTTTATACATGACATTGCCTTGTGTGTATCTTCTTCTAACCAACCAGAGAAGGAAAGATGGTCTGGGGTTAATGGAGCAAGAACAAATTTCATACCAATAACCCTGATAGCAAGCAGAATTTCAACCTATTCATCATGTTGTTTGTTTTATTGTTCATTTTAATTAAAGAAATCAGTAAATCTCATTTTACAATGCCAAACACAAAGGGCACACTTGAACTTTAGCACAGGATTCATATTAAAAAGTAACCATATCTGTTCATTTGCATTTATTATTACATTTTAAAGGTTTTTATTTCTGTATGTTATTGACTATTAGAAATGTACCACACTTGAAATTTATTATAATTTAAACAAAAAAGAAATCTTGAAAGCAAATTATATAAATATTGAGGAGCTACTCAATGACTTTAATGCCCTTAATAAACCTACATCTTTGTATAGAGAAATGAAATTTAACGTTATCTTGATTCTTGGTTTGGGCATTTTATTTATGTAGTGTTAAAAATAACTTCTGCATCATAGGTATACATTTCATGAAATTTTAACACAGATCAAGTCATATATTGGTGGAAAGTGAAACTCTAAATTTTGTGAATATCACCTCTAAATAAATTTGTGAATAAATGACTCAGAAAAACCATCCACACACAACAGTGCTGCTGTCGGTGATAGGAATATTATTATATAAAGCATTGGTTTTAAAATATGTTTTGCACAGTGTCTTCTTATGACTCACACAGCTGAGAAGGAGACATGGACCCCACTTAAATGTAAATAGTTAATAGAAATTTATTGTACCTGTGCAGGGGTTGTTGCAATAGGAAGCAAGCGACCTTGAATGACAGATCAAATGGGTCTTTAAACCCTATTTCTGCATCACAGCAAACAGGCAGAGATACAGAAGCAGCTGAATCCTTGCGGTTAGCCTTGGGCAGGGGGAATTGCATAGTATGGGGGGGCAGGGGTGGGTCAAGCCTCTCCTCCCTATGCACTTTCTTATCTCAAGTTTCTTCTCATAGTTCTTCCTCCTCCCTACACACTTCCTTATCTTCAGGCCTCTTCTCAAAAGTTCTCCTCCCCACCCTTGATGGGGCTGGGACTAATGGATTCTAAGGAAATTTCTTCTTCAAGGGCAGGGGGCTTGGTTATCACAGTCTATCTAACACCAAGACTAGGGAGAAATGTAGAAATTACAGGAGGTGGAAACCACCTCATGGGAATTCCATCACTCAATAGATAAGTCTTTTTCTTTTAGTTTAATTTTGCTGTTAGCCAGATATTTATGGAGATTTCTGTGAAGAATGTAAAGGTACCACCACAGATACTAGAAAGTGCATGAAAGAAATCTAATAGAAAGTTAATTTCATCTGAGATAAGCTTTTCTGCTGATCCCAGAATGAATTTGTAGTGGAGCTATATTAATTTTGTGCCAGTTAAAAATGTTCTTTTCCTTTTGTTTAATATTTGTATTTATAACTCGAGTCTAATAACACAATGCTATTTATTTTTATTAAGTACTACACTTTTAAACTAAATAGTTCTTAAATATAAATAATTTTATTAAATGAATCTTTTCATTTAAAAAATTAAATTAGTCCAAATCAAAAAATATTATAGTCATGATAAATAACTTTCTGAACTAAATAAGTACTATACGTATTTTGCCATATAACCTCCTCATATATTAGGAGGTTTGACCCAAAATCCCCACTATTTTAAGATCCTTATGACACACATACACTAATTAGAAACTGTTCATGCCAAAGAAATACCTTTTATGGTTTTGCAGTTTAGCTTTCCCAATACTAAACTCTGAACTTTGCCTTTCTAATTTTATTAAACTATCTACCCTTGTGATTATTTATATCAAAGTTTGTTCTTTCTTTCTTTTAAATAGCAGTTACTATACAGACCCCTTTTCCCTGTCATCATGTGAACTGGATATACTACTGGATTCATGAATTCAATATATAAAATAAACAGCTTTTTAAAAGTTCATTTTAGGCTCAAAGTAGGATTAAAATTTCCATGTTGAACTATTTATTTTTAGCTTCTTGAGCAATTTAAGCCATTAATATAAATACGTGCATCAATATATAAGTGTATGTTTTACCCTTACTTGCTTTAGTTAAGCAGTCATGGCTGGCACATGAGGACGATTTGCAGTGAGGTTTATTATTATTTTTACCGGTTTTTTTTGGGGGGGGGAGCTCTGGCATATGGGGCCTGTGCCCAACCCTTTTGAGCCACAGGCGCCACCCTGTAGTGAGGTTAATTATTAATAAAGCCTTTCACATCTCAACTAGAGCAGCAGAAGGAAGGAAGGTGGCACTTACCAGTGACTCCAATATACTCAGACCTGCAGTACTTCAGTTTTACTTTCAAAAATACTTTCTAAAAAATTAGATGAAGGGTAAGAAATTTTTTTTCCCCTGGAGACAAAGTGTGACTTTGTCACCCTCAGTAGAGAGCTATGACATCACAGCTCACAGCAACCTCAACTCCCTTAGGCTGAAGCGATCCTCCTGGCTCAGCCTCCAGAGTAGCTGAGACTACAGGCACTGCCACAATACCCAGCTATTTTTAGAGACGGTGTCTCGCTCTGGCTCAGGCTGGTCTAGAACCTGTGACCTCAGGCAATCCACCTGCCTTGGCCTCCCAGAGTGCTGGGATTACAGGCGTGAAGCCACCCCACCTTGTGAAATTGTCTTTTTCTTCAGAAAACACTAAAGTCATCTAATAGAAGCTGGCCACACTCTGCACTCCCAGCACATCTTGGCACCTAGGATGTTCCTGCCACGGTCTCCACAGTGTGGGTGGCAAAGCCTCGCCCCTGCTGGTGCAGTCAGTGCCACACAAGTGGGAGGCGCAATGTGGAAGTGCTTCCACGTGGGTCTATTGCTGAGGCTCTGTCTACTAACGTGCCTCTGTGGATGGACAGGACCCGCAGGGCAGCTTGCAGTCCCTGCAGCCACGATGTCTCCAAACTCTTGACGTCTCCCTCCCACGCTCGGCGCTGGTCTCCTCCCAGCCCTCTGTCCAGATGGAAGAGTTGCCGGGAGGGTTCTACGTTGCTGGTGAGGTAAAAGTTGGCTTTTATCTCCTTTTCTTTTCTTTACCTTGTATGAGACAATGTTGACACTTCTTGGACCAACCTGTGCACACGGCTTAGAATTAAGACAGTTACAGGTCTGGCAAGTGAATTCCAGGATTTCGACTCTCGCCTTGAAGGGCCAATGCCAGCTGTGATGCAGGTCTGATGAGGGGGCTCTCATCTCAAAAATGCCGGAAATATCAAAGAATAATAGGGAAGTGTAAATTTAATAGAAATGAAAAGAATGTTATGTTAGATTTAAATTTTTTAAATATAACTTAAGTACATTGTAATTAGTTTTTCTTCAAATTGTATCCACCTCCCTTACCACTATTGCTTAAGTTTGCTTCTTAATAAACTTTGTGGTTTGCATTCTGGGAATTGCTTATAAACTCTGAGACTGTCCTTTGAAAGACATACTGCTTTTCTCAAATCATATCCCAAAATGCTAGACCCTCAAGTTGGAACGCTGCTATCTGAAAGAGCCTGACATCAGTGACATTGAGATTTTATGTGGGGATCACTGATTTCCCTTGATAGACACATTTATCCTTTAGATTCCTAAAATCATATCATTTTATAACTGAAATATTTTAGCATGAAAAGTAGAGACCCAAATTACCTACATATCCATGTAATTCTAAGTAACAACAACAACAACAAATATATATATATATACACATATATATGTAAAACGGAAACAAAAGTGACCTCTGAGCACAAGGGCGGACTTCTGCTCCAGCTGTGCGGGTGGAGGGCGCCCTGCCCAGGAAGGGGCTGGCATGAGCCAATGTGCTTGCTCCCAAAGTCCTGCCTTCTGGGGAGGAAAGTATTCTTTTTAACCTCTGGGCATGTTCCCCACGTCCTGTGGGAATATACCACTTCTGGAATATGTTGCTTTTCCTCTGCTTTCCCATCCCTTGTTATATTTGCTTGAAAGTTTGCAGTTTGTTACATTTTGGCAAATCGAGAAGGATGAAATAGTACCTAAGTCAGAATGTTAATGAGATGGAATTCGGAGGCGTGATACGGTACACATGTATCCCCCCACCCCCCACCCCCACCCCCCCAACCCCCCACACACCCCATCTGTCTTTAAGAGGCCTTTATCCCAAGCCTGAGAGCATCAGAACCCTTCTCTGGCTTTTGGACTGTGCTCACTCCTGCGCCCAGCACTGCAGGAAGCCTGGCTGCGTTAAGAGGTTTCTCTCTCTGGCTGCCTTTCAGAGGCTTGCCATACCTGCTATAACTTTGGGTCTTTTTCCATGGTGATTTTGGGTCTTTCCTGCCTGTTAATCATCCTTCCATCTTACTTGATTGTAACTTCTTTCATGAGCATAGCCTCATGTGCTTTCTCTCCTGTACTAGTTGGCCCTTCAGTACAAAATCATGCTCTTCTGTTTACTTTTTTCTAATTTCCACAAAGGCCACATCTGAGTTTCCTCAAAAACTGTACAGAAGAACCACTGAACTTCACAATCACATCCCTCTCTCTATGTTTTCAGACAGAAACTGCTTCCTTTGCAGGGATTACGTTCATCAGGCTGCTGGCCCGAGGTATAGTTTTCCTGCCGGCCTCTCCTGCCTGTGAGGACCCTGCACCCAGCCTGGGGCCTGGCTGCAGCTCCC